GGAGATAGAAAAAAAACACACACATTCCTGTTACAGTCCTTATAAAGACAAATTTTACACCCTTTTTTTTCCAAAAAAAGACATCTCACAAGAAGTATGGGACAAAAACCTTTTCTGTTTCCAGTTATTGTATAAAGTCTCTCAAAGTTCTCAAGTATCTGCAAGTTGCAGCCCCAAAAAACTACTTAATGAGCTCTGTTTTTTTAAAGGGTTGCTAAAAAGATACTAATGATTTCCTTTAAAAGCAAAGTGTACCTGTTTTTCTCTCCTCGCCACTTCCTCGAGGGCTCTTTTGGCTGTGAGCAGCTCATTAGTAACCGCATCTACCATCTGCTGACACCTCGCTTTCTCCCCTACAGATTCATGTTCTGTGTAGTCCAGTTCTGTTTTCAAGTTTACTACCTTTTTAGCAGCTTTCTCTTTAATTTTCTCTAGTTTTTCTAAAGACTTGCTCAGCAACTCAATGGTTTTTTTCTGCTGGTTGGTTTTCTCCTTAAAACAAACAAAAAAAATACAGACTGGAATGTAAGAGGCATTAAAAGACAACATATGGTCCCATACAATATATGTATACTAAACATAATAATAGAATAAGCAACATAAATAAATTGAATCATTCATAGTAATGCAGACACATAAAATAATTGTCTAAATGGTAAAACAATATTTAAAGTGCAAAGCCAGCACTTTTCAAAATAAAGTAGAGAAGAGGTGGAACCATTGTCTGGTTTCAATTTTCCCCACTGGGGAGATTCATCTTCTAGTTCTACTCCCTCTCTAGTTACCATTGAGACAAACAGTGATGGGAAATCCAAAATTTTAGAGTTGCTACATGAATAGGTGGTGGGTGGAAACCTTCCAAAAGGTGCTGTGGTGGGGTGGGCAGCGACTGCTGGCGCAGTTGGCAGAGTGGTGAGAGAAGACGGGGGTGTATGTCAAAGTGGTGAAAGGGGGGGGGGGTGTGGATGTATGTTTGGCATATTGGTGACAGCAGAGGGAGAAGGCTTTTGTTTGGCATAGTAGTGAAAAGATGAAAGGCAGAGTTGAGAAACCAGATGGGTTGGGGGGGAATTATTCCAGAGTGGTAAGTGCGGGGTGGGGCATTTGCTACAGTGGTAGGAGCAGCAGGAAAGGGTGTTTGGCAGAGTGGTGAGAGCAGGGAAGGGGTCATTTGGTCAAGTGGTGAGAGCAGGAGGATGGTGTTTGGAAGAGTGCTGAGAGTTGTAGGGAGGGGGGTATTTTGGAAGAGGCAAAGAGGTGTGGGGGAGGCAGAGTAGTGCAAGTGCTGGGCAACAGATGTTGGCTGAGTGGTGACTTACAGTGCACTGTTTCCTACCCTTATCCTGACCCATTTTTCTTCTCTGTCAGCAGCCTTGCTACCAGACATATGCATTAGTGGCTATGTGAAGATCATCCTCTCCATATCGCCACCACCAGCTGCCCACTCATGGACTCCATGCTCTCAGCAAATATACTGGCAATGGGCAAAGATCCAGAGTGTGAAGCTGCTGTGATCGTACACACCAGAAACCTCACATATAACTAAAAGCCTTATTTTACTGTGTGTGTGGTAGGGATGTGCATGTTCAAGTAAAAGCTGCCATTATGCTGCTCAGGGCTGTGCATGCTACCACCCACACCTCCATTATACTAGAACTCTCACAGCCGTGATGGTAAAGCCCAGGTGTAAATCTTTTTTCTTTATTACTATTCTAATGTCAAATTTTACACCCATATGCACATATTGGGTTTGATTTACTAAAGGCAAATATGCTGTGCACTGCAAGTACAGTTGCTCCAGAGCTTAGCAAATGAGGTAAAACATCACTTTGCAAAGAATACACAATCATATGCAAGTAAATAAAAAAACAGCATTTTTGCTTGCACATTATTGAATGATAGAAATCAGCAGACCTTCTCCTCATTTCAGAGCTTCATCTCAGATCTAGAGCAACTGCACTATTTGCCTTTAGTAAAACAACCACCAAAATGTTTAGCTATAGCCACCTCTACTACTTACCATTCTCTTTTTCTTTTTTTGATTCACACATCTCTTTTTTAACCAGGAACTAAGGAGGAAACTGAAACTCCATTTTATTTCTTGAAGAAACAAAGGAACAGCAGCGCGGGATCTCCGTCAGCAATACATGTAATTTTATTGAACAATTAAAAAATAGCTCCAGCTGTCATTTCCTCCTCCAGGTCAGAGCTTTCAACCCAGGAACGTGTATGCTGTTCAGACATAGCAACAGTCATGTGAAGGGCACAGCACCAATCAAGACTGGCCAGACACAGACTCAGACTGTAGAGAGCATACATCAATAATATAAGCCCCTCCCAAGGACCTTTCCCTGTAAATGCCAAAGAACAGGGAAAGATCATATGACCGCACAACAGCGTTGCAGGAACAAGGACACTATTAACACCATCATAAAGAAATTTGGGACCCATAGGAGACTCATTGAAGAAGGAGACATAGAACACAGTGTCCTGAGACATTTCATGCTCTATGTTGAGAACTGCACCAGAGCTGTTTGTCAAGAACTTTACACGTGAATGTACTATTTTTTAATTGTTCAATAAAATTACATGTATTGCTGATGTAGATCCCACACTACTGTTCCTTTGTTTCTTCAAGCTAATTTTGGATCTTCCCGGGTCTATTGGTAGCTGCAAGATCCTTTGGCAATTTTCATTCTGAGATTTGCACCCCCTATCCCCGCAGTCAATTGGACATTGGAACTAGAAAGCTGGGACCTGTAGTACGCTAGATGGGTTTGTGATTTGTTTTTTGAAACCATTTTATTTCTTATACTCTTATTTTACATCGAGTATGGCATGTTAACATTTATAGTTGTTGATACAGGTGAGTGGTTCGGTATTCTCTGAAAAGAACTCCAGAATATGCCAGTGCTGTATATCTCTATATTAGTGTCAATGGAGTTTCAGCAAGAATTATCTTAAAACTTCTAACTAGTGACTTTTTTACCTCTCACAGTAGAGCTTAGAGATAGCGGCACTGCATAATTCTTCTCTAAACTTCCTAAAGTGGCGAGCTCACCTTTAAATCGTTCATATCGACAAGCTGAGCCGTCAGGTTCTGATTAGCAATTTTCATGTCACTGAGCTGTCCTTGGAGTCTCTCGACCTTCTTCTGCAATTTTTGGGCTGTCACGTTGGCTGAATTTTCAGAGCTCAGAAAGGCTTGATGCACTTTTTCTCTCTCAAGCTGTTTGATCTTCGTCTCCAGTTGTTCTATCTGGGAAGATTTTAACTCTATTTTTTCTCTCTGGGAATTCACCTACAGTGATATAGTGTGCTTAGCTGGACAGAGTACAGAACTAGTAGAAAACATGCTAGACAAAGGCATACAATTATAGACATACTGATTGTATAGATTGTGGAGCAATAATGGTTATCATTTTTATTTTGTCTTGTCCCAGTGGTATGAGTATGCTTGGCCTAACAGCCCAGCAACCCTGACAAATAGAGAAGACTGGTTTCTTGGAGTTAGTAGGAGTTTGGATTGGCTGCTTTGTTTCATGGAGCCCTGATTTGATAAATCTGAAAAATTTGCTGCATCCTTTCCAGATCCCACTAGCTGCAGTACCAGTTCAACAACACCACTTCCCTTGTTCATCAATTTAGTCCTCCACCAAAGCTAGATACACATAGCCTCATGTATTAGGGCTTAGTTCACACCTATGCAGTTTGCTTTTGATCCATTTCTGCAGTGCTTTTTACTGTGCAATCTTTTTTTTTATGCATTTTTATGTGTTTTGCATTTTTTATAGTTTTTCTTGGCCAATCTATTGTTGGGCAGATTAAAAAACACAGAATGCACCAAAAATGCATCAAAAACACACTACATGCTTTTCTGCAGTGTCTCCATTGAAGTCCATTGAACCAAAAATGCACTGTTTTGCGTATAAAAAAAAGTACATGACCCTTTCCAAAAATGCAGCAGCTGAAAAAAAGCATAGATGTGAACATGTCTCATAGGAAACCATGTTAAATGGACTGTAGTGCGTTTCTGCAAAAATCAAAAAGCACCATAAAACGAATAGGTGTGAACCAGGCCTTAGGTAGTGCAAAGTTCAATGGACCTATGCAAAGTAACATGAATCATCTAACCAAATTTCAGCAGGCTGGACAAAAATCAACCAGAGATTAAATCTGATTGGTTGCTATAGATTTCAGAGCTTTTGTACATAGACACTGCAATTTGCATCAACTTACTAAGCTATGTATAATTTAGGGCTTGTGTAGATCATGGGGCCTGTATGGATAACATCAGTTTGAGATACGTCTGAAATCATTTGTAATTCACCGACAGGTGCATTTGACCTGCAGTTGACATCCTTCTGACCTGCATTTGACCTGCTTCAAGCAGATTTTCATTCCAATAGACTAGGTTTGGAATGCAAAACTCTCTTGAAGGGGACAAAAGCCTGTCAATGCTGGCCCTTAGTGTGAAGCTTTTGTCCTCCACATAAAAGTCACATAGCAGAATAAAGAACACAAAGTGCCTTAAACTGATGGTATTCTACACCTTGGTCCCCAAGTATTGGTGTGCATTACACACTGTTGCAGAGTGGTTGCTGCTGGGTAGATTTCTCATCAATTACTGATCTGTCTGATACCATCATACAGGAAATGAGCAGGGATTTCGCCAAACAGAGATACAGACAGCAGTCTGAACCTTACTCGCTCTTGTATAGAGAACTGAAAAAAAGTTTGTGGAGTTGAGCTTTACGTATTTCTACATAAACCAATTGGACCAACTGATAATTTACTCCTGAGGACTTGGCCTATTCATCACTGGACCGAACGGGAACAGTATCCTTAACTCCATCTATTTTGCTTTTAGTTGCTGGAGATGATTTTGGAAATGGTCAAAATTGTTTCGGTACCTTTTTTTGAAGGTTATAGATGAGGGTTTTATTGTCACTCAGAAATTCTTTATCCCTCTTAGAAATATCTTCTGCTCTCTTCAGTAGCATGTCGTACTGGGAAATCAGACTCTCACAGGATATGTCTTGGCTGATATTCAACTTCTCTGCCATCTGCAGTAAGAACTTCTTGAACTATAAAACAGGAATGGTGAATGTACAAATGTTAGAATAAAAGCACATTTAGCAACAGTCAAGTAGAACATTTAAAATACAAAAAAGTAAAAAATAATATCTACACAACAAATGCAACATTCAAAAGAGTGAAATATAACCTTGAGCAATTTTATTACTTATGTTATTAATTAAAGTGTTTATTATGTATATGTACAGAAGGAGCTAAGCAACTTGAGCTAGAATAATTATTCATGAGTACATCTTATCACTTGGCTGGGAACTGGTGGCTTCATTGTGAATTTGAAAATGGATTTTAAAGTTAAATAAAAAGTCTCAGAGCAAAACTTGGTTAAGACTTCACCAGCAGTCTTCCAAACTTTCCAAACCACAGCAGAGACATATTGGTTAACTACTGCAATCTACAGTATTTAAGAGGCTATGAAGCATGGCTTGTTTAAATTATGGTGTCAGATCTGTAAAGATACAAATACAGTAAGCCCCTGACTTATGAACAAGTTCTGTTCCGGGAGAATATTTGTAAGTCGGATTCGTTCGTAAGTCCAACAAAGTGAGTCTTATACACTTTTGACACAAATATACAATGTAAAGCATAAAAAAAGAAACACACAAAAATACTGTAAATAAACAATTTTTACTTTTACAATGACCTTAAAATGGGTGGTGGTACAGTACAACTGTAAATAAACTCAGTATAGTATAACAACTGGCATATAGGGGATTGAATGGAGTGAACTGACAAGAAGAGAGTTACTAACTGGAGGAGGGAGGGTAGGTGGGAGATGGTGGAGCTGAAAAATCATGAGCAATAGGAGATGGAGGGCAACATGGAATTTGGCCTACACCTGATGTTGATGGAGCTGAAGAATCATCAGCAATAGGAGATAGAGGGCAAGATGGAATTTGGCCCACACCTGATGTGGATGGAGCTAAAGGATCATCAGCAATAGGAGATAAAAGGCAAGATGGAATTTCACTCACAACTGATGTTGATGGAGCTAAAGAATCATTAGTAGTAGAAGATGGAGGGCAAGATGGAATTTCACTCACACCTGATGTTGATGACACAGGTTTTTTGATAGATTCAATTCTGTCTACCTTCTTGGAGAAACGATCCATTGATGTAGTAGCTCTTTTTTTCTTATCATAGATGATTCTTTAGCACTGGATGGCAATCTGAACGGCTGCTGCGTCCTTTGTGTATCGTTCTACGTTGGGGTCCTGTGCCTCAAAAACTAACAGTGCATTTTCAAGTAAAGAAAATCCCCTTGCTATTTCCTGTGTTGTGCATCTCTTTGGTTCTTCAGTTACATCTTCCTCTTGGATCTCTTCGTCTTTTCGCTGGGATTCTAATTCCATCAGGTCCTCATTAGTAAGCTCCTCGTGTTGCACAGCAAGGAGTTCAGTGAAGTCATCCTCTTGCAGATCTAGCTCCAGCTTCTTGCTAAGGGTCACTAAGTTGCTGAAGGCCTCTTTGGACTCCTTACCCATCTTCTCAAGTCCATGAACTTCATGAACAAACTGCAGGCAAAGGTTCTTCCAAACCCCATTCATGGTGACAGCTGAAACCTCATGGCAAGCAAAGTTGATGTTTTTTATGGCCTTGTAGATGTTATAGTCCTTCCAAAATTGTCACAAGGATGTTCCTGTTTCATCAGTTGTCTTCACTGCCTGATGAAAAGTGTAACGTAAATAATATTTCTTGAAAGTTGCAATAACTCCTTGGTTCATAGGTTGGATGAGCGCTGTAGTATTTGGTGGCAGATGCATTACTCTGACCTTGGGATGAAAGTCGTCCGTGAATTGCAGGTGACCTGGTGCATTGTCAAGCAGCAAAAGAATGATGAATGGGATATCTTTCTCCAAACAATATTTCTCTATCTCTAGAATAAAGTGGTGGAAAAACCAGGCCTGGAAAATGGTCTGTTTAACCCAGGCTTTGGAGTTACTCTTCCACACAACAGGTAGAGAGCCCTTGGCTATGTTTTTGAGGGCTCTTGGTTTCTCTGAATGGTAAACTAAGAGAGGCTTTAGTTTCATATTGTCAGAAGCATTGCCACCAAACAACAGAGTAAGTCTGACCTTTGCTGCTTTGAAGCCTGGCATCACCTTTTCTTCTTTACCGATGTAACTTTGTTCTGGCATCCTCTTCCAGTACAGTCCTGTCTCATCGATGTTAAAAACCTGTTGGGGTAAATAAGCACCTTCATCAATAATTTCTCTAAGTGTTGCTGGAAATTCTTGGGCAGCTATGGTAGCTGTACTCGCAGCCTCACCACTTACTTTTACGTTGTGAAGGTTGGCTCTAGCCTTGAATCTGTTAAACCATCCATGGATGGCCGTAGAAGAGCACACTGTTCACCCCGTTTTTTCGTCAAGTCTTCAAACAGGCTTTTAGCTTTTTCTTGAATAAAGATTAAGCTGAGTGGGACACGATGCTGATGCTGATCCTGCATCTACACACTGAGAAGTTTCTCCGTCTCCTCTATCACTTTACCATGCTTTTTGGATATTATTGTTGACTTAATTGGCACAGCAGACTTCACGTGTTCCATGATCTTGTCCTTGTTCTTTAGAATTGTGCCAATGGTTGAATGATTCATGTTATAAGAACAAGCGATGTCTACCATCTTTTCGCCTCGGCGTATTCTCTCAATTATTTTCCTTTTTGCTTCCATGGTTATTGCTTCGCACTTCCTATCAGTACCATGCACATCACCGCTGCTTTGCCTCTTGCTTCCAGACATCCTGGGCTCTGATTGAGCACTGCACTACTGTACGCTATTGCACTGTACGGTCAGCACACAGCAGCACAACTGTGACAATGTCCGGCAGACACGTGAACTATTTACACAATCTGTTCGCATCTACGAATGTTCGTAATGTGAGATTCGTTCGTATCTGTGAAAGTTCGCAACTTGAATGTTTGTAAGTCAGGGACTTACTGTACTGTAGTTATATTGTAAAGAGGCCCTTGCTTGTGGGAGACATGGACATTGGTCTTTTTGTTTCCTGTATCAACAATAACATTCAAATTGCCAAGGCACATTTGATTCTCAGTGATAGCTCAGGAGACATCTAGGCACTGATAGATATTTTAGCATCAGGATTTGTGTATGTAAGAGACAGTAAGGAGCCTACAGTGAATGTGTTTGGGAATTTGTCTCTCTTAACAAAAGGGAGGGGATAGACTGATGTATTACAGTAATTTATGGATGAACAATTGAAGTACAGAGCTGGTAAACTGTGCACCAGACATCCAATTCAAGGTTTAGTTTTATAATTCCATTAAAGCAAAACCTTTTTGTTTTTAGTTTTGGAGACAAAAGAACCTGAGGTATTTCAGGAAAACACCACATTAGGGTCACTAGGTGAAGCTGATGATCATAGAAAGTAAACATTTTATACAAATTACACAATTTTTTCGTAACAGCTCTGCAAATGCTTAAGGCATTCATACAGCAGTTTTAAAAAAAGTTTATTTGAACCAAAAATGCAATATATTGTAGATTATCAGTCATTAGCCTTGTTGGCCTCATTAGATTCCTTTTGTCAAGCTTCTTTTTCCCCTTCATTATCACCTGGTAATCCTGCCACTAACACACTTCCTGTCCTAGGCTCATCGTTCTCACTTACTGTACTGTATCTATGGAAGAGTAGTGTTGCCACCCTAGAAGAGGAAGGGACTACAGAATGACTCCCCTTCTCATCTTCATAATATATGGGGGTGGTGTTCTGTAGTCCACATAGTTGAAATACGCATGGCTGTCTACTTGAGAAAAGCCTACAGCATGTAGCACAGGATTTCTGTCAGGATCAATGGGCATTTTTTCCATTTACTGAACATATAGAACAGAACACTTTCAAATGGTATGTTTAACAGACCAAATTGGAGAAAATAAAATAAGTTTATTGTTGGTGTTTACATACATTTAAATTGTATGCAGAAATGAGTTAAACTGTGAGTAAAAGCACATTTAAGTCCGTGAAAGTGTTTGTAAAACCCACATTTTTGAGTGGAGTAGCATCAACTACAAAATACAATACATGAAATTCAAACATTTAAATAAGCAAGACTTGAGTCAATTATTATTTAACTGCTTTCATTAAAGGTCCTTTTAAAAATCTATTTTCTTGAGTATAATTTTGAGAAGTCATTATAATTTTGGATTCAGACATGCAGTTAATGCTGAAAAATGATACACCGAATCACAGATAAAATAGCTTGTAAACCACTTTAAGAGTAGAAAGGTGATAACTATATTTAGAAGATGTGGATGGAAGCTACTTTGTGAAAGTGTATTAAACCTTTTAGAGATGTTTAAAGTGTTGTAATTGCTCAGTGCTGTATATATTTATTTTGTAACATTTATTTATTATACACAGGTAAGTCACCCCGCCTTCCCAGCAGTACTTTATACTGCCCCACAGAAATAACTGCTGTAGGGTGGTATAATCAACGCATAGAAGTTTTTAAAGCATGCATAACAATCCCTGCACCAAGTGAACCCACTACACAGGGAGGTTTACAGCCCAAATGAGGGGTCTTCTTACCCAGGAGAGGCTGCACCTGCGAAGGCTATAGAAGAGATTTTTTCATGGTGTCCGGAGCGAGGAAAAAAGAACGCTGAGTGAGGGGAGACAGACGCTCTTATGGGCTAGGAAAGAGGTTGTCCTGGAGTGGTTAGAGAGGGTGGAGCTGATCCGTAGTAGGCTGACATAGAGAGGATCCAGGGAAGGAAAATTACGGTAAGTATGGAATACAATTTTCCCTAATTTTGTAAATAAATTATTTCGCATTTTCATCAACTGCTTTTCGGTTTCATGGTAATAAATAAAAAAGAACAAGTTTTGGTTATGGTTTGGCTTTTGCTTATGCATTTTGCATTGCTTAGTACATTATCAAACATATATCCACCTAAAAAGTTATTCCCCTCAAAAAAATGAAAAGTGAAGCCTGGTAAAAGGAATGATTCTTGAGGACTCTGGTGGTGAGATCACCCTGCGATCATTTCTGGCTCTAGTTTCTGGTTATGTTGGAGTGCTAGGTGTTCCCACTTTATCGTTTGAAGTTTTCATAATATAAAATAAATGAAAGTGCATGCCCAGACCAAAGTTTGTTTTGCTTAGTTTGACTGGGGAAGAAGTAGAACCCCCTGTTGGGTTTAATAGAGATGTGGTTCAGAAGATTTCCCCCTCAATTTTTGTTTTGATATAAAAAAAAGTTTGGACTTTCTCTAAAGCCTGGTACACACATTCAGTTTTTTTTTTTTTTTTTCATTCAGCCCAGCGGGCTGAACAAATAAAAAACGAGAGATCACTGTGTTTGTACAGCAATCTTTCCCATTGTGCCTTTGTGCTCTGACAGGTGGACTGCCCTGCTCCCCTGCCAGAACACACCAATCAGCTGATCGGATGGTTTTCTAGCATGTCTCTTCAACAAAAGCCAGTCCTTAGACTGGCTTCTGTTGAAAGGACAGCTGTACACAGGGTCCAAATGTTGGCCGGCTCTTGCTGAACTAGCCAACATTTGGACCATGTGTACCCAGCTTTACTTTCAGTAATGGTAACAATGGTCTCCAGGATAAATAAGGATGAATCTTCCAGAAAACACAAAAACAATAAAAATCTGACAGGCTCTATCCCTTCTACATTCTATCCAGAACAAAAAAAGAAGTTCTGGCTTTAGATACACTTTAAAAAGTAGATACTTTAAATAGTATCTCTAGCCCATGCCTCAATTGTGATGTCATGACCCAAGGTGTCCCATGGCCCCAGTCATACCATTATTCACTAGTGTTGGATACAAATATATCTGCTTCAAACATACATAGTTCCAAAGTTAGGCTCAAAAAAAGACACAAGTCTATCAAGCTCAACCAAAAGCCTGCATCCACTAAACACTGAACTCACAGCTGATCCTGAGGAAGGTAAAAGAAACCTTATATAGAGTGATCCAATTTGCTCCAACATGGAAACATCCCCTAAAGCTACTGGATACTTCCTGAGTCAACATGGGATAGTGCTTAGTGCCGTGCTTCTAGTTAAGAGACCATTTCTGATCACTATGTTTGTACACAATCTTGCTTCTTTGAAAAAAAAATAAAGATTGTGATGGTAAATTGTGCAAAAAACTTAAATTATATCCATAACGGAAATACTATACTTTCCTTTTAAAATACTGTGGTGTTTCAGTAGATGTCAGTAGGGTCCAAAATACTGTCAGGTTTTATAGAACAATGTAATGCTGAATGATACAAAAATGTTAGAAATGTAATGTACCCACCCTTTTTCTCTCAGTGTTAAAACCATCTTTAATCATCTCTTCTGAGGCTAGTTTGCCTTGTAAATGTTTCATGGAATCCTGCTGTTCTTGTAGCAGTTCTTCAGATTTGTAAGACTTTGCCATGGCCTCGTGGTACAAATCCCGTTGTTGCTCAACTTGTTTGTGGAGCTTGTTGATCTTCTGTTGAAGCTCCTCACATGTCTGCATAAATGCATGGTTTATATATTTATACATGTATCGGCCAACAGCTAAGTAAAACATTAGAGAATCTCTTCCACCAAAGCTAGTCACTTTATATTTGGTAAAGTCTAATGAGAAACAAATTTACACTGGCAAGCCAAGGCTACTATTTATAGCTAAAGTCAAATGGCAAAATGCACAGCTGAACTACGTATATGTAAACTCCGATACCTGCCAAAGTATTTGTTGTTATGTTTAGCCAGCCCTGTGATCCAGGCACCACAGCCAGACAGTACAGTCAGCTCCTGAACCTCTCTATGGACTATAACCAGCCCAAGCTGTGAATGGACCATGATGATGTAACACATCAATGACATCATCCACATCCTATCCCTTCCTGATAGGCAGTGCACCCATGAAGATGCTAACACAAAAGATCCCTGGTTGGCTGCCATTCCAGCCCCTCCCTTTTCAACTCTCAGATCTCCTGTGCAGAGCATAATAGGACACTAATATAAAGACAGATTCAGGTAGTTATGCTAGCTTTATACACTTAATGGTTTTTCAGATGTAGCTCACCTACCATTTGCTAGTTGTTTAGATTTATAAGAATGCTATATATAAAAACCAACTGGGGAATTAACAAAGAATGGTGCAAAAGAGATATAAAACCTGCTGGCTGAAGTGGCAGAAGCTGTGCCAATTAAAAAAAAAAAAAGACACATGGAAATTTTGACACAAGCCATTTTGAAATTGGAGGTACAGAAAAATATTGGAACTGGTGACAAAATAAGGGCACATGAGCCAAAATTTTGTTGCATGTGGCTAAAAGCTGTGAATCCCTGACAAAATCACAAAACACTCACCAACTGTGTTACTGTTATTTATCATATTATTTGTTAAACACATAAAAATTGCGCTCACATAACTTGATGCAACTTCCAACAGTGGTATGTTATGCTCAGTAATATGTACATCCACTTACTGCCGCCTGCTCACATCAGCTTGGCTTCTCACACCCACCCATTAGCTGACCCAGTAACTGTAGACAGGGCTCTGCAGCAGAAAATTCAGCAAACAAAGCTAGTACGTGTCCTGGCTCCTGTTTCATGTAAATGTATTTTTGAAAGGATAGGCTTGTGCACCAAAAAAAAGGAAACTAAATACCCTGCACCAATATCTTATGAATCCTGTAGTGAATTACCTGCTGAAATAATATCTTAACAAATCTCTTCCAATTAACCTTCTATTGACCAAACATACTAATATATACTAATGCTATTTAAGTATATACAGTCAGGTCCATAAATATTGGGACATCGACACAATTCTAACATTTTTGGCTCTATACACCACCACAATGGATTTGAAATGAAACAAACAAGATGTGCTTTAACTGCAGACTGTCAGCTTTAATTTGAGGGTATTTACATCCACATCAGGTGAACGGTGTAGGAATTACAACAGTTTGCATATGTGCTTCCCACTTGTTAAGGGACCAAAAGTAATGGGACAGAATAATAATCATAAATCAAACGTTCACTTTTTAATACTTGGTTGCAAATCCTTTGCAATCAATTACAGCCTGAAGTCTGGAACGCATAGACATCACCAGATTGATATAACTGGTAAGTACAGTACATATATAAATGTTAAGGTATACATAGCTACTAAAGCTGTATTAAACCCAAAAACAAACATTTATTATATTGCAGTTTACTGATTCTTTCTTTCTTTTATTTTCACCTGATGATCTGGCCAGTAAGTATGTTTTTCAACAATGAATCACATAAAGTCCTCCTGCGCTCTTATGGTAAGTGGTGGATAGAGAAACTAAAAAGCAGCCAGCATCTATCCCGCACCAAAAAAGGGTAATATGAATAGAATATAAAGTTGATGCAGCGCTAAAAAACTAAAGACAAAATATAATATATATCCGGATAGTAAAATAAAAATGATAACATGACCCAGGATCGCCTGGGGATACAAAAAACAATAGCCCTTATAAGACTAATAGCAGTGATAAGTGGTTTAAGTGCAGGCTAAGGTGTCCATAATTCATACAGGGGTGTAAGTGAATCACAGCACACTCCAAAGAAGGTGACCCCGGGCAGTCTTGCTGCAGTGGCCTCTCACCTCCACTCCACGACCCTACAGGGCCATAAAGCGTAATGTAGATCACCACGAAATCCTCCAATACGGACTCTTTAGATGTATGAATGAACAGGGACAGGTTTCCTCCAAGTCAGTGGATGAATAGAAGGCACTCTCCTCCGATATCACAGCCGCTCATATGCCCATAAATGAGGAGATAAACATAATCCTCATAGTGTATTACCGCTTTATTTGAATAAGGCAACAAACAAAGAAAGGAAGGTAATCCACTTACATAAAAACGGCTTGTATGGAGATGCAATGCTGGGTGTAAGCAGGATCAAAAAGGTGCACCAAGATGGCGTCACGCCGGAAGTGCGTCACCACGCTATTGCCGTCGACGCGTTGCGTCACGTACCTCGTGACTTCATCAGGACAGCGTGATAGGCCGACGGCACTTCCTTATAAAGGCCGAAAACCGCACCCATCAGGATCACAATGGGCGGTGCGATCGCGGCCATATTCTCGTAGTCCGACATGCCAAACAGGAATCCAGGCAGCCATATAAATATAGTCTATTAAAGACCAACCTTTACCGATTTAAGTCTGGCAAACCCAGTGAAGCCATACACTATAAAAAGCGCGCCACACATCAATGTCTCTCCAAAAACAACACATAGAGGGACTGATATGTAAAAAATGTGTATGAATAAAGAAAAAAGAAAAACGCTTAATTAAATTTAATAGAAATGAATAAAAATGAATAAAAAAACGCGAGCATAATCAATAATGCCCCATATAAAATACACTATAAAATATAAAAAATATATATATATAAGACATATATATATTAAGTAAAATAAAAAAAAAAAAAAAAAAAAAAAAAAAAAAAAAAAAAAAAAAAAACGCTCCTTTGTAATCCTGCATGAACTCTATATATCAAGTACTAAACACACATAATAACTACATGGGAAAGGTTATCGATCACTGATAAAACAGTTCAAGTCGAACTCAATATTGAGTCCCATCGGGGCAAATGTATCCATAAGAAAAATGTATTTTGGATTCTATCTGACTTAGAGATCTCACTTTATGGGACCCTCTCCAGTGTTTTTTTATATTTCTCAACTCCCCAGAATTTAAGACCAGAGGGGTCCTGGTTATGGTATAACCGAAAATGATTAGATAGACAGTGTTTTGGAAAGCCCTTTTTTATCTTCTGGACATGTTCTCTCAACCGGACCCATAAAGGTCTTTTTGTCCTTCCAACGTATTGTAAGCCACAACCGCATTGGAGAACATACACAACCCCCTCCGTTCTACACGATATAAAGTCCTTAATTTGAAAGGACCTACCATTACTAGTGGCTGAAAAGGAACTCAATCTAGTGTTAGAACCCCTGGTGGCTCTACAGGTATAACAGGTCTCTTACACGGGAAAAAAAACCCCTTTATAGTCAAGAAACGTAGCCTTAGGATTTTTTGTAGGGGGGTTCAATACACTACGAACCAATTTAGACCTGAGAGAAGGGGCCTTCCTATATATGAATTTAGGTGTAGCCGGTAATAATTTAGAAAAAAAAAATAGGGTCGGTTATTAGAATGGGCCAATAACGTTTGAATACACTCTCTATCTGTTTATAATTGCTGGTGAAATCCAGAATAATCGCCGTGTGATCCCTTTTATCTTCCGTTTTTGGTTTATCAACAAGAAAGTTACTCCTCATCGTTGTTCCCACTTCTACGATCTTATTTTTTTAATCATTTCTCTAGAATAACCTTTACTGTAGAATCTCTCTTCCATAATATTGGCCTGCTCATAATATTCCTTGATATCTGTGCAATTCCTTCTAAGTCTGACCAGCTGTCCTTTCGGGATATTCATCAGCCAAGGAGGGAAATGACAACTGTCTAGTGGAATGTATCCGTTCCGATCTACTTTTTTGAAAAAAGTTTTAGTATGCAGATTGTTATCCTTCACCGAAATGCATAAGTCCAAATAATTAATGAAATACCACTTATTTCCCACGACAGTTTGATGCATTTATCATTACTATTTAACTGATTCAGAAAAAATAATAAATCAGATTCCAATCCATCCCAGATGATAATAACATCGTCAATAAACCTTTTATAAAGGAGTAATTGTCTAGGGGGATTCTGATACACTGCCTCTTCCTCCCAGTGGGCCATGAAAAAGATTGGCCACACTGGGAGCAAACCTAGCTCCCATAGCTACTCCCTTCATTTGATTGTAAAACTGATTGTTGTACCAGAAGTAGTTATGGGAGAGGCAGTAATCCAAACTTTCCAGGATAAATTTCCTCTGTGGCCATAAAAGGTCACTGAACGATCTAATACCCCAGCCCACCGAGTCCATAGCATCCTTGTGATCAATGATGGTATATAGAGCAGACACATCTGCACTCGCAAGCAAAATACCATCCTTGATATGGATACCGTCTAACAATTGTATAAGGTGTTTCGTGTCTCTCAGGTAGGCCTTAGTTTGTGTAACGAGGGGTTGGAGGAAGGTATCAATATATTGACCCATCCTAGACATTACTGATTGTATCCCATTGACAATGGGTCGCCCTGGTGGATTCAAGGGGTCTTTATGCATCTTCGGTAGGGTATAGATAACTGGTAATCTACATACATCTGGTACCAGATATAATGCTTCTTTTTTATTTAGTACCTTAGTGTCCTTTCCCTTCTTGACTAATGCAACAAGATCCTTTTTAAATTGACTGGTCGGATCTTTTGATAAGGGGAGATATGTATTGGTGTCACCTAATTGTGACTCCAATTCTTTTTCATAATACTCCCTAGAGAGTATCACAATACTCCCCCCTTTATCAGCAGGTCTGATAACTATATTTTCCCTTTTGGACAGTCGCTTCTGTCCAATGTATAATGCTTTATTTTGCCTCATTTTACCAAGATCAAGTTTTTTCATATCACTAATAACCATTTTCTTAAAAACCTCTAACTGATTATTGTTAGTTACTTGAGGATTAAATAGGGATTTATTCCTTAATCCCGTATGGGCAAATACATCACTACTTGCATTAGATATCACATTCTTAGCTCCTGGCTGACTATGGAAATATTTCTTGATGTTCAGTTTTTCACATATTTGAGGGTATCTATATACATATTAAAACCATTTGCAGTTACAGGGGGGGCATATTTGAGGCCTTTGTCTAACACTAAAAGTTCTTCAGTAGTAAGTGTGACTGGGCTGAGGTTGAACACTCCTTCCCCTATAACTCTCTTTTTCTTTTTGGCCTTCCAACCCCCTCTGCATCCCCTCCTCTGTCGAAGCTTCTCCGAACTGGGCTGAGAATGGTTCTGCCCCTCTCTAAAAAACCTTCATTTTGTTGAAACTCATTATGTTGTGCTCTCAAAGGTTCATATCTATTGTGAGTAGATACAGGACTGCTGGTATAAGGATGATGATAGTCCTTATAGCCATAGTGTGGAACAGGGCTTCTGCCATGTGAAGGCCCAGGGCTTCTGCTTGGTACAGGACCATAGTATGGCCGTGATGGAGCTTCATATGGATAATGGTTATATCTCTGGGGCATATTATCCCGTCTAGCATAATTCTGATGGGGTTGTTGATAATAATTCCCCTGTGTGTGATTAGTGTTTTTCCATTGTTTCCCCTTTTTAAAAGGCTTTTTCTTAGGCTGTCCCCCACTACGTGGTTGCCAGCCTTTTTTAGGGGAATGGTTCATAGGATGAGAATAATAAGGAGATTTTGGACCATTATCAGAAGGTTTAAATGGTCCAGGATTATTTGAAAATCTAATTTCCTTCACTGGTGTAGTCCTAATAGATGCTACTTCAGCCTCAACTATAGTACTTTGCCATTTAAAGACCTGATCTATATGGAAGTCATTAAGATCCCTATGGTACTTCTTGATTTTCCTACATTTCACCTCTTGATCCACTTTTTCCAAGTCTTTATACAATCTATTGGTCAGATTAATGACTTCTAGATTATCCTTAAGAGGATCTAATTTACACTTAATATCAGAAATCAAGGTTTCCAGATGTTTCATTTTCTTTTGTTTCCTCTTAAGGAGGAATTTAACCAATTCCAAACCTCTTTCCTGGAAAAAAATTAAACCACTCATCTTTGTCTTCCGTATCTAGTAACCCATCACTAATGGGGACGTCCCATCTGAGACGTCTCGGGACCAATTTATCCTTGAGATACCTCTCATGCGTAATCATGTCCCACCAGGTGGTGCAGATGTAGCAGTTTGAGGACTGAGACAAACCCTTTTAAAAATGACAGGGGTGCTTACAATGGTCAGCTTTTATTTATTTATCTAAAACTTTTATCACAGAAGATAAAAAAAACTGTTGCTATAGCTGTTAATAAAATGTGAGCTTGAGTTTAGCTTCAATTTTTTAGTGTATTTAATTCTGCTAGTACATCTAAGGCTCCATGTACACGGGATGTTTGGAAAACACTTCTGAACGATGGAAACTGACTGCTGGAAAACGTAGGTTAAAAAAAAATCTGTTTAGCCATGTTTGCATACCGCGTTTATACGTTTGAAACGCTGATAAAATCTACTCCTGAACGCAAGTTTGGTGTGTTCAAAAAAACGACTGTAAACGACTGTGTATATGAACACATAGGAAAACATTCCAGAGTGGGGCACTGCGATACAGGAGGTATGTTACTGGCCAGATCACCAGGTGAAAACAGAGAAAACAGAAAACAAATGCAGCCACCACATCTAAGGATAAGTAAGCTGCAATAGATTACATTTTTAGTTTTGGGTTTAATACCATTTTAAGGTTGTTGCTTTGCTGTAGTTGTCTAACTCACTTTACAGATGTTTAAAAGATGTGAAGGAATGCTTCCCTGGTGTATATATTAGAACTCTTTTAGATTTGGAAAAGTGAACCATCGGCTTAGGTAATTCGGCGTATGCCATGCTCCATCAATAGAAACTGAGGTATCTCTCAGCTGACATGACATGGCGTTGGTGTCACAAAAGGGGCCATAATTATGTCTTGCATGTTTGTTAATTTGACGCACAGGATAGCAGGGTCAGATTGCACCATTATTATGATGCATATGTCTTACTAAATTCCCCCCCAACTATTTAAACCCAGCACGGTGAAATTGCTTTGGTAATCTCCTTAGTTTATATACTACAGGTATTTAAATAGTAACAACAATTTTTCACAGCACTCTAACTATAGGTGCTTACACTCACACTGATCAGCCATACCATTATGTATATATACATATATATATATCTTGTACATTCACATCAGTCATCTCCTTACAATAGTAAGGAGTAGTAAAAAAAAAAAAAAATTAAAAAATTTGTAAAATGTTTTTGCAGGTGCTCCCCACATCCCATATGGGAAAGAATAAAATCATGACAATTATACACACTCACAAAATCTCCCTGAGAACTCTATAGAAGGAACTGTATGAAGCCTGGTCCCAGGATACAAATGGCTCCACAGGGACACAGGCTGAAGTGGGGGCAGACTGACCATTTGGAAACTCGGGCACTGCCCGAGGGCCCGGGGTCAGTAGGGCGCCCCATGAGATGCCCCTGGTACCTTTTTCATAGGCTTTTTTGAGTTTTGGGCAAGGACACAGGGGCCCCATGATCCCCTGTTGTCTAGGGGCCCCATGAGTTGTCAGTCCGCCCCTGGCCTGAAGACTATACCTGTGCACACACTATACGAGTTTCGTCTGCTTCCTAAAAAGCTGGGCTGGAAAATAATCTATGTGTGTGTATCCAGCTGAAAGTCAAAGTCATTCTTTGCATTAAGATAATAAACACCCCACTATCTGTCCAAGCCCCCCAGTCTCTAAACACTTTCTGGGCTCCCATCACCATTCCAGGGTTGCCCCCAGCCCTCTCTTTTACTTCCTGCTTTCACAAAAGACACTGTGGGCAGCTGAGCCATAGATTCCTGCTGCTGTCAGTCAAACTCTTGTATGCCAGCACCAGGCTTGCTAAGGAGGTACCCAGAGAAGGAAGGAGGAGACAGCGTAAGCAGGGGACTGCCAGAAGAGGAGGTAGTAGGAAGCACAACCTATTTTTTATTTAAAAAAATAGACTTTAGTATCACTTTAAAGCAGTCTATACATGTATACACTATAATATTTCACCTCCAGTGGCCTGAGCAAGCACCTAGACAAGGTAAAACAAATAACTGTCTTTAGGCACTCTGAGGCTTGCAGAAGTAGCAAAGGGCCACAGGCTGGGCACCAGGGATATAAAGCATGGAAGAGGGTAATACCATGCCAAATTCAGGTAATTACACAGGTTGCTTTAAATAAGCCTAAAGTAGAATTCCAGGCTACACCTACCTAATCTTAAAAATGCTCCCCCACCCCCTCCTAATACCTATGCTGACTAACCTGTGTAAGAAAAAACTCACCTACTTTCAGGCCGCTTCAGTCTGGTCATGTGATTTCCCCTGTGTCTGCTGCAAAGGAGAGGAGACAGCGCTTGACAGCTATTGGAATGCCTGGGAAGAGTAATGTCACCCATAGGCTCCTATAGACCAGCCATTGACAGCACTTCCTCCTCTCCCCTGCAGCTGTCTCTGGCTGATACAGAGGATTGAATCATGTGACCGGTCCGGAGTGGCCTGGAAATAGGTAAATATATATATCTATCTTTCTTACACAGGTTAGTCATCATAGGCATTAGGAACAGCGAAGGAGCATTTTTAAGATTAGTTAGGCGTAGCTTTTAATTCCACTTTTTTATGAATACACCTGCATGAATTGATGTTTTTATCTGCCTAGATTTTAGTTTTAACTTTTCCACCTATTATTAATACAGTATAGTTCAGTACATCTCACTCACAGACTTCCATGTGTGCTCACTGCGGCAGATTTCCTGGATCCGCTCCTTCACAGCTTCCTCAGTTCTCGGCACAGTTGTAAATCCATTGCCGAGGATGGTGGCCAACTGACTTATGAAACTGTGGTGCAGGCTGTGAGCAGATTTAGCCTCATAGCCGGAAGTTTGCAGAGTCCTGTCTAGATCGTTTATCTTCTGCTCCCTCTCCATCAGCTCCTGGCGTAGGCTCCCCCATTCTTTATGGTTGTCCTTCAGTCTTTCTTGAAGAATTTCCTTTTCTCTCTCAGCAGTTCTCTTGGCTAGGACGGCATCATCTCGCTCCTAAATGCAAGATATAACACTGGGCAGTAAAGGGAATGCATGTATCTCACTGCTCATAGAAAACATGTAAAAGTGATCAGCTTGATGTAAATAACCTAATCTATAATGTGTTAAAAGTACATTCTATTTGTTTCATATTGCATAGGGGCAGCCATATTTGTTCATTACATGCTTAGGCTATGCTTATTGCTTTCATGAGCTACACAATGTTTGTGGCTGTATAACAAGTATAAAATATGGCATATTTTAATTTATATTATGTGTTTGTTTAGTACAAGAAAAGCTGCCTTGTGTCAGCACACTAGAAAGCCCAACTGTGCAGTCTGAGACTGCAGCGGCCCAACACTCCCCGTGCACAGTGCTCCAATTAACAATGCTGCTCAGGGTAATAAGCATTGTTGATTAACACCCCTGTCACACCAATCCGACTTTGAAATGATTTCAAAGTCAGATGGTATTCCAAATTGAGGTGCGACTTGCAAGACGTTTGCTGCTTGCAAGACCCAGGTGTGTATGCAAGTCACACCTAAAGTAGTGCATGCACTACTTTAGAAATCGGTGCTGCTCCAACCAAGTTGGACTCACACCGATATGACCGCTGTAATTACGGACAATAGGGTGTGACTTGCCATGCGATTTGCAAGTCGCATGCCAAGTCACACCAGATCTGACCAGGGTCTTAAGGTGAAAATCTTAACCCTTCCTCAGGTTCTATGCAAATTATGTATTGTTACAGATGGGTGATGTCCAGGCTAGGTTTTTCAGGGGTTGGGTTTGGCCCCTTAGTTCCAGTGAAGGGAACTCTTAAAAAGTGTCAGCATACCAAGACATTTTGGACAATTTCATGCTCTCAATTTTGTGGGAACAAAATGGTGGAGGAGCTTGACTGGCCTGCACAGAGTCATGACCTTAGCCCAATAGAACACCTTTGGGATGAATTAAAGTGGAGGCTGCGAGCCAGGCCCTCTCGCCCGACATCAGCAGCTGACCTCACAAATGTGCTTCTGGAAGAATGGTCAAAGATTGCCATAGACACACATCTACACCTTGTGGACAGCCTTCCCAGAAGAGTTGAAGCTGTTATAGCTGCAAAGGGTGGGCCAACTCAATATTGAACCCTACAGACTAAGACTGGGATGCCATTAAAGTCCATTTGCGTGTAAAGGCAGGCGTCCCAATACTTTTGGCAATATAGTGTGTGTATATATATATATATATATATATATATATATATATATATTAGTTTAACCCCAATTCCAGCCAAAACGTTTTTTTTTTTCCCCTTTTAACTGATGTCTGTGACAGCACTGGGGAAAGTTCCCCCATAACTCTTCCCCCATAATGGGGAATGCCCTCAATTTCTGTGCAGTCATCTGGCGGAAATACAGACAGCAAAAAAAAAGCAGGAAGCAGAGTCTAAAGCTAGCCATATACTGATACCTGCAGGCTGAACTAAAAAAAAAAATAATAACAGATTCTTCCATCTATGCTATACAGTGCAGAGGGATGAATCTTCCTGAGTGCCAATTGTGTTCTGACAGATTGTCCTTCCAGCTGTCAAAACACCCAAACAGCACTGCATCCAACTGGATGAAGAAGCTTTTTGGCCATCAGTTTCTGCCCGACTACTTAGATTTTTTTAATTGAGGCATGTCAGGCAGCCAACAGGGCCACCCAGTGAGTGAATTTTGGACAGGTCCTCATGAACAAGCCAAAATTCATACAGTTGTATGTTCAGCTTAATTCTTTACACACTCTATTTAACTAAAAAATGGCTGGGGGTTATCTTGAAAAGAAAGGTCTTTACCTTTTTCATTAATAAATAAAACAGCATACAGCATGTACCTATCCTTTCCAAACAAAATCACATATTTCTGAAACAAGGGCAAGAAACTTTGGCGTTATAGTAACACAACATCCTCTATATTTTACTGAAAAACAACATATCATATGAGATTGAAGTGTGACCCAACTCATGACAATGTGGGTCACAAGTGCAGTTATATCTGCAAAGCAATAAAATGACATGAGATGTGACCCTGGAATCTGTAGAAAAAAAAAAAAAGTCAAATTGATCATTTATCTCCAGACATACATTGTAAAGAGTAACCCTGGGTTATGGAGACCCACTGTGTCACTCAACATGGAAACAAAGACAAGGAATAAATCTTGGTTTCATGTTGTGACTATTGTGTGTCAGGGGACAAAAGACAAAACACAGGAGCACTCTCTCACCTGTTTTAGCGATTTAAGCTCTGTTGGAAAGTTGGATATGGCTTTCTTGTGTTTCTCGGTCTCTGAAACCAGCTTCACTATGGTATCCCGACTGGCTTTAAACTCCACTTGTTGACTGGCCAGGGTGTCTTCAAGACTTGTCACTTTAGATTTTTGCAAAATATATTCTCTCACCATCTTTTCTACCTGGAAAAGAGCACACATGTATGAAAAGCGGACTACAGGAAAACTTGTTTTGTTGCCCAAACAAAGCCATCAGTTTTAAATGTATGTAGCACCCTCCTTGTTAACTACTGGAAATTCTAGCTTTAATTGTTATATAGAGGCTGAAATAGCAGCCGGGGTGTCATAGCCAGGTGGGTCAAGTTTAGGTCAGAGCTGAGAGGCTCTGCAGACCAGCTCTCTGGGATTTCTCCCTGCTCTAGAACTTTGGCGCAAGATCTAGAAGCAGTGAGCAGAGGTGAGGTGTGGCTGGTTTGTACTCTTAGAGGATCTTGGCCAATCCCCAACAGAAGGATTGGCAAGAGGCCAGGACAGTTTTTAAGAGTAACTGAGCCTGCTCAGCAGCAGGAGAGTTGGAGGAGAGTTTGGGTGGAAGATGAGTAAGGAGCCTGGGAGGGGGCCCAGATGGGAGAGGGGCTCACCTCCAGGCAGGAGGATCTTGGAAGGAAGAAAGCTTGAGACATCACTGGCCCCCCTGAGAGAGGACCACCTGTGTGGCAGGGAACAAGAGGCCCAGCTAGAAGGCCTGGTAGCCTTCTATTGTCATGAAGAATAAAGGCTCATGGAGGTTGGTTATAGTCCTCACGCACCTAAAACCATTTCATCAAAGGGAGAAGTTCAAGATGGAGACATGGTCCATGATTTACAAGCGGTCCAGCCAGGCGTTTTGGCTTGTTACCTACCAGCAACACAGGAGAAGGATTGAGGGAGTAACCCTGCACCCCCTGGGCCAGATAGGGGAAGGAGCACTCTGGTGGGAAACCAGATAAGCAACTACCTAGGTTTGTCTTCCTTTAAAATGACAAACACTGGATCTCCTGCTCAGGGATTCACCCAGTTAGGCTGGATTAGGGGAATATAAGGTCTGGGGTGCTACAACCGAAGACACTGGCTAGCTCTCCAAGAAGAGGATTTTGTTGTAAAAATTTGTATATAGCTGAAGGAAGTTGTCCATGGTTTCACAGTTCCACTGGGCATCCCGTACACCCCTTACCCCATCCCAGTTCAATTCCCCAAATAAAACTTCAAAACAAAGCTTCCACGGACTGGTGTTTGTCTCCTGGATGAAAGTTAATGTGGAAGTGCCTGTTGCCAGGCTGTGCAGGACTATAGGGGGACCCAAACCTTCAGCGTATTGCTACATGTAAAACAACAAGCGATTTTAGGAGCTGGGGAGGAGGTCAGTCATCCCTTCAGAAGGGAACATGACCTTGGGTAGCTGAAAAGCTTCAAAGTCTTGTTAGTTTGGACCCTATCTTGGACTATTGGACCATCAAAATGGTCTCTTCAGGACACACATGGTCTTTCAGAAGTCCTCCTCATCTCAGATTTATTTCCATGGGGTTGCCACACTCCAAGGAATAGAAGCAAATATTACGTAAAGTCACTGGTGTCACAAGGTGCTGCTATGCCAGTTCCACAATGTGGGAGATTTCAGAGCTTGTAACCACCCCTCCTTATTGTCATGAAGAATAAAGGCTCATGGAGGTTGGTTATAGTCCTCATGCACCTAAAACCATTTAATCAAAGGGAGAAGTTCAAGATGGAGACATGGTCCATGATTCACAAGGGGTCCAGCTAGGCGTTTTTGCCTTGTTTTCATAGGCCTAAAGATGCATACTTTAATGTGCCCAATGCAGAAGGCTTACGCAAGTTCCATCAAGGCCATCTTCAGTAAACTTGTCTACAATTCAGGTTTTCAAAATCACCTTGCGTGTTTTTCAGTCTTATTGGCCATTCTAGCCTTAATCAGAATAAGGGGCATACGCTGGCATCATTACTTGGATGACCTTCTCTTACTGTCCCAGAGAGCAGCTGCTGGAGCACAGGGCTCAGGTCCTGTCAATGCTCTTCGAGTTTGGCTGGTTGCTGAATCTGGAAAAGAGTATGCCCATGTCTAGTATCATTGCGTCTGATGGTCTGATTAGGGGAGGTTGGAGGCCCTTGGCTATTCTCCCATAGGCATCTCTGCTCTCATGAATACCATGAGAGTGAGCATAGAGTTGAATTTCAATTGTTGAAGGTTCTCATATGAAGAAATTTCTTCTCACTTTCTGTTGTGTCTACAGGACAGAAAGTGAAGGGGAATTTCCCTGATGAGACATAAATAGGAAAAAAAAATCCTGACAGGAATTTTTACCATTCTTTATCCAACTTTGGGTAAACTCTAAGCCCCAAATTAAAATTAATCCATTGCAGTGGGGGGTTGCTTATTTTGTCTAGGGCAAAGGAGAAACAGTTTTACTTACCTGATCCTCCACTCCACCAGGAGATGTTGCTCCCTTATGTTTCGGCACTGGACTGTCTCACAGCATCATGTCCATTGCAGGGCTATGGAACATACTTTGGTCTTGATCATGTCAGGACCCTAGACCACTGGACCTTGGGTAAGAAGAAACTGCAGGGACAGGTCTAGTTTTTTGGAGAAACCTAAGATCAGGTAAGTAAGCATTATATTTTTTGTTTCTCTAGACCAGTGGTCTCCAAACTGTGGCCTGGGGGCCAGATGTGGCCCTTTGCTTGCCTTTATCTGGCCCTTGGGGAACAATTCCTCCCACTGACAACAACATTGGGGCATAATTCCTGTCACTGATATCAACAGTTGGGCATTATTCCTAACACTGACCCCATCAATGGAGCACTATACTTCCCACTGACGGGGCATTTTTCTACCATTGACACCAATGATTGGGCACTATTTCTCCCACTGACACCAATGACTGGGCACTACTACTCATACTGATACCAATGATTGGGCACTATTGCTCTCACTGATATCAGTGATGGAGCACTATTCCTCCCACTGATACTGACAATGGGGCACTATTCTTCCCACTAATACCAATGCAATAGGTTCTTCTGATTTGCACTCTACAGAAACAAACGGCTTTTCTTGTATCATTTTATGACTGATGGGAAACAATAATCCCACTGATCCAGTGAACTAAAAATTGCTGCCTCAAGTTATCAGGATTACCTTTGTCACCAAAAACATTGAGGGGATCTTCTTGTTGCTCAACATTCACATTCAGACAGGATGACAATCTGTCAATACTCTCCTGGAGCTTTTTCTCACAGCTAATGTTTCTTTGTTCAGCCTTTTCTCTTTCCATCAAGTGTAACCTGTAGATGGTGGACACATTGAGAATCATTCTTGCATCACTTTAAAACAGCTTATGCTTTAGGTATATGCCCAAGCATTACCCACGTTGACTCCCAAACCTCCTTATCCCTCTGTAGAGCTAGTCACAACATGCACTTTTTTTATCGTGTTCCTGTAGCAAGATATAGCTTGTATAATTTCCTGTGACATCACAAGGCTTGTAAAAATCTTGCAGGAGAAGTTGCTGGGAGGTCAATTCCTACTGACGTTGGCATGCCCCCTATTCCCTGCACCACATCGCCCAAGAACTCTCTCCTTACACACAATGCAGGTACTCTCTTGGTGTCATGGACCGACTGGCAGTAGCCTCTAGTGACCCACAGGCCGGAATTCCTCAGGGCGCGGAGTCTAAGCCTCAGTCTGCTGTTTCACCAGGGGCCCTGATGGTGGGGATGGATTTGAAGCAGCCTGAGACCAGATCGCGAATCCCGAGTACAGCCAGCTGTGGTAGAGGTGGTTTTGCCAGTGGTAGGTAGCAGGTGAGAGCCAGATTTGAAGAGATAGTGTGTAGCGTCGTCAGACAGGCCAGGTCGGTAACAGCGGAGGCAGACAGTACAGATCGGAAGGCAAAAGGATAAACGGGTCACAGGCCAGGTTCAGCAACAAGAGGTCAGGTAAACAGGAGAAGGCAGAAGAATGGTCAGACAAGCCAGGGATCAAGGCAGGAGAGGGTCACGATAATCTGGGTCAGGCAGGTTCGGCAACAAGGCAATCTCAGAACTAGGAACAGGAACACAGGAATAAGACCATACGGCACTTGAGCATTGCAAGAGCCGGCTTTAAATAGAGCGCCCTGTGCTGTCATTGGTGACAAGCGCGCACCCGTGTACGCGAGTGCGCATGCGCGGCCGCAGCTGCCGCCGCGGGCGCCCAGGTCCTAGCGCCTGTGTGTTAGTGCGTTTTGGCAATCTGCGCATGCGCAGACCTATGCGCCGCGGCGATCCCTGACATTGCCCCCCCCTACGGGCAGCCTCCGGATGCCCAACTGCTTTCTCCTTTGTGGGTGGTTCCGAAAAAACTTTTGAACTAGTCTGGGAGCGTGGACATTTCGGGCTGGTTCCCACAAATTTTCTTCTGGCCCATAACCTTTCCATTTTATGAGGTACTGTGTCTGACCCCCTCTCTTCCTGCAGTTTAAGATCGCTTCTACTTCAAATTCCTCCTCCCCCTGAACATCTAGGGCCACTGGTGGCTTTGATCTATGGTCCAGGAACGGATCTGGAGTGGTAGGTTTTAGCAGGGATACATGAAACACTGGGTGTATTTTGAAAGACTCGGGCAAAGCTAATTCAAAAGCCACTTCGTTAATTTGCCGCATCACCTGAAATGGGCCCACGAACTTGGGTGCCAATTTCCTCGACGGGCATGCCATCTTTAGGTTGGTAGTTGCTAACCAAACTTAATTCCCTGGGTGCACGACCAATTCCCCTCTTCTTCTTTTATCAAAGGCCCTTTTGCTATCTTCCTGAGCCTTTGCCATTGCCTCCTGTAACAGTTTTTTGTTGGACGCGAAGAATTTTAAGGAGTCTTGAGCTGCCGGAACCGGGTTTTCTGGGATCAGATCGGGCAAGAAGGTGGGATGGAAACGATAATTGGCGAAAAACGGGGATTGCCTGGTGGCAGAGTGATTTGCATTGTTGTAGGTGAACTCCGCCAGGGGCAAGAGTGCCAACCAGTCGTCCTGTAAGAACGAGGTGTAGCGCGAGTGTGCATGCGCAGCCGCAACTGCCGCCGCGGGCGCCCAGGTCCTAGCGCTCGTGTGTTAGTGCGTTTTGGC